CCCCCCCCGCATCTCCTCTGAGTTCATTGATTCCTTCATCCCTCCCTACCTCTCTTCAGGAATAGTCACTGTGTACCAGGTACTGTGAATGTAACGGTGAATTAGAATGATGTCTACAGTTACCAAGCTTAGCATCTCTAGCGCAATTACAATAAAAGCAGCGATGAAGGAACTTCCCAGGGGTAGGGAACAGCATGCCTCATATCTGGGGTACTCAGCCTATCAGGGGTGGGAGGCCTCAACTGTGATAGGAAGGTTTGTAGACTTGAGCAGAGAAAAGGGGCAAAGCAGGGCAGGGTGGGGGGTAGGATCTGGGTGTGGAAGATTAATGCATACTTATGATGTCACAGTGTCCCAGCAGATCCTGGGACGTTAACTGCAAGCCAGTCTGAATTAACTTGACCATGGCAATTATTCAAATCTTTAAACTAGTATAACTAATAAGGTCAACTTATACATTTTTACTTGAGAGCAGAGAGGACTAAAATAAATTGATATTTGCAAAGTAAAGCATCTATGTAGGGCATTTCTAGCAAGGCTTTTTCTGCTTAAGTCTGCATTACAAACATTTCAAGAAGTTTCTACTGAGACAGTTATTTAACACAAGTTTTCAACTCTTAATATAAGGATAAAATGTAAAGCTGGTCCTTAAAAATTAAAATAAAAATCCTTGTGATAAACTTTGGTTTGTAATGTAGACTCATACATTGGTATTTTTAGTTCTATTTTAATGCTATGTAGAATTTTTATCATTGCTTTTTACCTGAAGATTCAAATTGTATTGGCATCACTGGGGAAATCAGATTGCGTAGCTAGTAAAAATAGAGAGGAATAAATAAACCTAGAACACTGAGAAGAAAAACTTAGGGCCTCAGATCTTTCTAGAAATAGGGCTACAGCTAATTGCTACTTCTATGCTAATTAACGAGCAATCTGTGAACTAGCATCTGGGACTGAGGATTGCAAATATGTATCGGTCCACTAGATTGACACTGAATCGTGCATGGACAAAACTTAAGAGTACCTATCCGATCTAGTCGGTCAATGGCAACCGTCTCAAAGGCTCTTCTCATCATTGGATATTCCTCCAGGACCTCATTGAAGTTGTCCACAGAGAGTGAGTAAAGACGGCAGTATGTATCAGCTCGAACACTGGCTGTGCGGCGTCCCTTAGTCAGCAGGCAAATCTCTATAAAAACAAGAAAGAAAGATTTGTTTGTTTGGTAATTTTCCTTTAAAGGCCACTAAGGCTTCCCAAAAGTAAAAATAAACTCTCATGGTGTGAGAAACCAATGGTTAGCAGCATTATCTGTTTTATTAGCTAATTCCTTCTGACGATTAAAAGTATCCAATTGCCAATGCTCAATCTTAAAATATTCTTCTTCGTGTTGCACAATTGAAGCTTCTGGTTCAAAGAGAAGGCTGAAACATATTTATCTATCTTCAGGTCCCCATTCTACTCCCCCTGAAATAAAATTTTAAAAAAAGGCAGAAAGGGAATAATAAATCCACAACAGAGTTGAAAACAGGAAGAAACGATGCTGGGAGAAAAGTTCTTGTGAATTCTGGAAGTGAGGCAGAATAGTAAGAACTAGGAAAATTCTTTGGCCAGTGGAATGGGGAAACAGACAGCTGAGCAAACTGGCTGAGCAATTTACAGCCAGATACAGAAGGTCACCAGGGTGGAAAGCCTTGGGTGCCTAGCAAGGGGCAAAACTGAGAAAACAAGCACCTTATCCCCAGGGTGATCTTTCCTCCCCCAGCATATCACTGGCCACGGGGTTTGGAACCCCTTTCGTATCGCTGGTCATGTGGTTTGGACCTTCCCCTGACCTTTCCTCCCCCAGCATATCATGCTGGTCATGTGGTTTTAAACACCCCCTGCCCCCCAGAGGAGAAATAGAGAGCCAGAGAATATCCTCACATGACCCCCATTCAAGCCCTTGCAAGGCCACTCCCTTAAGCAGTAAGCCCTAGAGATACCATCTAGGCCTCAGTTGTGTTTCAGCTCCAGGCCCAGAAATGCAGCAAAGCCAGACAAAGTGATGCAGTGGCTGACATCAGGACTAGCTGTGATGACTAATAGCCCCCTACTTTGCAAACATCAATTTATTTTAGTAGAGACCACAACCTTAAAGGACACACCTAGAAAAGCTGATAAATATACTACTGAGATCCTCCCTGAGACCTCCAGATAAAAGCCCTCAAGACAAGGACAGTGTCTTCTTCCTTGGAGCAAGCCTGCTCAAATCTGTTTTTCAAGTGTACTTTTACTTCCTTTTCTCCTAAACTCTAAGGGTCCTGGTGAGACTTGCAACCAAGGGAGCAGCAGGCAGTGGCAGCTCATCCTGGGCTAAACCTCTGAACCTGTCTTCAAGGCCCTGTTTTCTCTGACTTTTCAGTGAGCTGACAGCAGCTGGCCTTGGCTCACTTCTTTCACTGTGACTTTCACTGCTCATTGAGTCTCTGCAGCCCAGCATGGCTCACTTCTTTCCTATAACATTTCTAGGGAGCCGAAACATAGCACTGCCTGGGCTGTTTCCTGTTGCTTCTTCTATCCTGGACTTTTCAATTAACTAACAGCAGCCCCACCTTGGCTCATTTCCTTCACTGTTACGTTCACTTCTCACTGAGTCCATGCAGCCCAGCATGGCTCACTTCTTTTCTATAACATTTCTAGAGAGCCAAAGCACAGCACCACCTAGGCTGTCTCCTGTTGCTTCTTCTATCCTAAGCCCTTCCTTCGTTTCACTGTCCCCAGCTTTAATGAACACAGTCTCAAAATCACCTGGACTAGTTTTGTGAAATCTTTCCTGAAAGAAGTCAAGAACCTACCCACTACCTGCCAGCCTGAGGAAGATCTGCTCAGGGCCTGGTCCCTTTCCAGTGACAGAAGGCAGAAAGCAAATGGTATCGTATAGTCAGACACTAGAGTGAGCCCAAACTCTGGCTTAGAAAGTCCTATGATGAAGCAAAACTGGATCAGATGAATGCACTGCAGGCATGCCTTATGTAGTTCATACATTACCAGTAAGATCAGTATAAAATTTGTATTCCATGTGCACAAAGGGGCTTTCTATTTAAATAACTTCTAAGGAGAATCCTTCATTGAAATTTAGATTCCCAATATATGGTAAGTAAACATTTGCAAATTTGGATTTCCTTATTTGCTAGCTAAATAAATGATAAAAACAATAATTTTATTTTCCAAAATTTATTCATTCAATTCCTGTAGACTTTGATTTTTTAAAAATAGGAATGATTTAAAATTTTAGTTTCAAAATAACCAATTTGAACCAAATCATTGAACCAAAGAGCAAAACATTCTACATATCAAGTTTCAATCACGTATCAGAAAACTAAGGACTATATATAGGCTTACACTAACCAAGTCCTCCCAGAAGTTAGAAAGGGATGTGTTCAGAGGAAGTTATTTTAAAATGTTTATGAGTCCATCCATAATAGCGGACAAACCCAAGGCCAACACTAGGTTCTAATCTCAAGTTTTGGATGATATAATATTGGCTCCCCTGCTAAGTATCTCTTTGTAATAAAACTGCCAATGTCTATGATGAAGAAAGTATCTAGAAGGTCAGGTACTTAATGTAGACATGTCCTTACTCACCTGGTAGACAATTAACTCTCCTTTGGGTGCTCAGATTACTTCACAAGAAAAGCAAAATAAAACACAAAATAAAATAAAATTGAACTCCTAAAGAATAAGCTAAGAGCAGCCTACAGATTTAAACTTTTTAAAGTCTTCTGGCATCCTTTCTAGATTCTGTTGGTTGATTCAACATTTATGCTTTTTTCTTGTTTGTTTACTCTCTGAGAACTCAAGCAGGAATTTCCCTGGTGATCACTACTTTAAGATTCTTTGTGCAAGTTTACTTGGAAATAGGACCCATCATCTGGCTACAAATTTGTAAAATAATCACATGCAAAAGTAATGATGACTTGGCATGTTAATTCCAATTCTGTAGGATTCTCCTGTTTTTCTTTGCAAGGTAAGTTATTTTCTTTACAGAGTAAGTTAATTCCACTAACCCAAGAGGAAATTGACAGTAAGGTGCCTCATCGCGGGCACATTAGAAATCTGTCTCCAATTTCAACATCATCAGACATGTGTCCGGGAGATTAAATTTGGCCTAACACACTGTATATATTATTTTACTAATCCTTAGGGTAACAGATATGTCAGCTACTCAGTGCTATTTTTGTTGACATTAGTTAACCCTGATGATAAACATTTCATTCCTCCTGAGACTACTGCCTCCTACAGGAGCAGTCATTTAATAAGGTAGGGCAAATAGCCTGAAGAATTTTGCAATGACATTTCCTAGACCTCTCAAACAGAGCATTGCATTATAGTAACACACAGCGAATCATGAGCTTATAGCAGAAATCTTTAAGGTAATGTGTTTAGCCTGAGTTTCTAGAATTTATGGGAAAATCTGTACTTGACTGCTCATAGTGACCTAGGCAAAAAGCTGCTTGTTTTCTGTAACTGAGGTCACAAAATAAAAGTATTTTTCTCTTGTACATCGACATGCTAACTTCCTATAAATTACTTAGGTTTCTAATCCACTGTCTCACAACAATGGGCAAGAAGAAATATCACTTTTTGGTTTTTTAAAAATATTTGTATATTAAAAGAAATCTTTTAATATCTTTCCATATTTATACTAGTGGACTAGTAAGATAGTATCTCTCACGGCACAGGAGAGGGTAACATGAGGCTTCGATCGATTTGCGTATCAAGCTTGGCTGGTAGGAGCATTTTAAGTGTCAAATGGATTTGAATAAAGATATAAAGGAGGAAGTCAAAGTAGGATAAAATATCAAATAGTTGTAAGTTTTATAGTATTTGATGTATTTTAAAATATTTCATATTTTTTGTAATTTTTGAAATAGATTGGTTATAACATTTCCCAATATAGATATAAAAGAATAATTATGTATACATAGATGATATATCACGGTACATATTCTAGTACATGATGCCAATTTTGCTTTTTCTCTAAAGATATAACTGATCAGTTCAGTTTCTATAGACACAGTTGCATTTGCACAGTTATTAGTGTCCTCTACTATTGCCGTCCCGTTATTTAAGATTCCTAAGATCCTCTAAAGCTACTGCCTTGTCCAATGTGCCTTAACTCCCCACCTAGGTGTGGTCAATTCATCTGTCTTAAAGGTGAGGATTAGGGTGGTGGGCTGGGGCTCCTTAGAGGATCAGGGTGGTGGGCTGGGGCTCCTTAGAGGATTAGGGTGCTGGGCTGGGGCTCCTTAGAGGATTAGGGTTGTGGGCTGGGACTCCTTAGAGGATCAGGGTGGTCGGCTGGGGCTCCTTAGAGGATCAGGGTGGTGGGCTGGGGCTCCCTAGAGGATTAGGGTGGTCGGCTGGGGCTCCTTAGAGGATTAGGGTGGTCGGCTGGGGCTCCTTAGAGGATTAGGGTGGTCGGCTGGGGCTCCCTAGAGGATTAGGGTGGTCGGCTGGGGCTCCTTAGAGGATTAGGGTGGTGGGCTGGGCTCTGAGCATTGACCTGGTCGTGGCCCGTCAGGCGGTTATGCACTGGCGAAGTCGTAACGAGGGTGAACTAAGATAGGGCCTGCAATGTGCCCAGGACAAGCCCAGCGCAGTGTGGGTACTTCTAAAACATGAGTCCCTGTCCTTTATTCCTTATGTCCCTTCTCTCTGTGTTCTTGTGATTTGGGCTCTAATTGCTAGAATCAAGGAAAAAGTAATGCTTCATCTATCAACTCACTCTCCAAATTTGTGAAATGCATATCATCTCCCACACCCTCCGCCCTCTCGTAAACAATTTGTTCATATAGTAACGATACCAACTCCTTAGACTAGTCTCAAAAGGTGGGTCACACCCATGGACACCCTTTCGTAGGTGCCCCGGGGAGACTTCATCTTTGTGCCTCTTCCTACCCCGATCCTCTTGCCTCTCAGCCCTTCCAGCACATCTCTGAGGTCACTTGTTTATACAATATTCCTCTGCACTCAGCCAGAAGGTCTTTAAGGAGAAGCACAACAACCACATTTGCAATGTCTAGCACTTGCCATAGATCTGACCACATAATCCCACTTGGATCAAGAAAAAAAGAACGACTGAATCAGTCAACAAATGAGAGGCGGAATGACTTACACCGGGATGGAAATGTTCTTTGAAAACGAGG